GAAGACAGAAATCTTCATACTCTGATGATGGAGGCAGTATGACCTCTGAAACGTTGGTTAACATCAACCAGACTACACAGCGCAACAACCCAGAAGACAGAAATCTTCATACTCTGATGATGGAGGCAGTATGACCTCCGAAACGTTGGTAAACATCGACCAGACTACACAGCGCAATAACCCAGAAGACGGATATCTTCAATTAATGATGTGTTGATAAGGGGAACTTTATCGTAGTATCTTCTAGTTTATTGTGTGTTTTAAAGATTTTGTCATTTAAAGTTAGCCATGAAACACAGAACTTTGAGGAACAAAACAGGAGACTATCTGATTAACAGAATTAATGAGTTTGAAAGAAACTGTAAGACCTGTATGGAGACATAAATGAATTTAAGAATGGTTATTGACACACAGTTAACATAATACAAGATGAATATGGTGATCTGCTTGCAGAATCTCTTCTCCCTGGAAGAATTACTTTTGTCAGATACTGTTGCTGCTTGAGTTGTCACAATTTTGAATGTTTTGCATGTTACATCATGTCTCTAGCTATGATGCTGATTATTGTTGTTACAGTCTGACTGTGCATAAGTATTTTGTAATTTTCATAGTTGAGAAATGTTACTAAAGCACTCGTAAGTCTTCATATTTAATTAGAACAATCAACAAGCAGGATAAATATTTAATGCCTTTTAATTTACATTATGCAGCCCTTCACAAATGTTACACACTTTTAATTAAAACTGTTAATCTTTATTTTGTATTACAGCACATTTATTTATTTCAATCCGTCTTATCACAATATTTAAAATTTCTTATAATTAAGATAATAAAATATCATTGATGTTCCATATCGATTGATCGATTTACATTTTTCCAAAATGGAACATCAATGATATTTTATTATCTTAATTATAAGAAATTTTAAATATTGTGATAAGACGGATTGAAATAAATAATTGTTAGAATATTCACAATATGACGCAATTACACTATCTTATTACAGCACATGTTTGAACAGATGACCATCTTTGGTTATATGTGCCAGCTTCCACCCCCACCCCCCAAATCCTGTGCCTCGTGGCGTATCTACTTTTTAAATGTGACTGTAGTTTCTTACATTTTTACAAAGGCAAACAAACAAGCAACTGACTCTTAGTTAATGCACAGTAGTATCAATAGCATTAGCGCTATATTTTCATACCAAGTTCTTGAAAGAAGACAGCAGCAAAGACTTTAGGAGGTTGTGCGGGGCTGCATAACAAGAAAAATTCAAAGGCACTGAATATTCTCCTTGTATAGGTGAACATAAGTAACTTTACCAACTTTGAAATAGTATTTATTTTGGATAAACAATTAGAAAATAAGGAGAACAACAAAGCCTCAGCTGGGATAGCTGTCCTCCAAACTGAGGATCAGGACTGGGTACCTTTTGAATATGACATAGAGTGCTATTAAAACCATGGTGGCAGGTTGCCTCGTGTTGTTATTGTCTGTCTGCAACTGTTAATCACACACTGCATCCTGTTTACAAGACATGACTGCATTATCACATCTTTGTCAGAATTTACACTTTAACTTATTTTCCAAAAGAAATCTTTGTTAGCATTCAGTGCAGCATCTTTTATCTTTGCATCTCATGTCTAAAACCCCACAATATAAATACGCAAAACTATCTGTTCACCACCTAATTTCGTAGGCATTTAGGTAACACTTTCTACTCGTCCCAGAGACTGGCTATTTTAATTGAGATTTTCTGTGGTTTTCCTCAGTATCCCTAAAAAATGTGAGGCTAGTACCAGAAATTAAGTCATGGCCACTTCCTTCCACATCTTCTCCAATTTTTTGTTCGCTAATCATCTTATCATTCAGTACTGTGTAAGCGAAACAGTTGAAAGTGTTATTAAAGAAACTCTGAATGAATAAGTGAATACCATTTAATGTTTAATTTTGTGCCAGTGTGAGAGTATCTTGCCCAAAGGTAAAAGCATAGGTTGACAGTGTTTGAGAACAGGATTCATAGGAGATTATACCTGAGGGAGACATAATAACAGAAGAACTGAGAAAGTATAATGAGAGTTGTAAACTGTGCGTAGTTCAATAATCAAACAGAAATTACGTGCAGTTTTTAAATATTGTGTGTGTGTGTGTCAGTCAGTTTTGTTGTTGTTTTAGGCGAAGCCAATTTTTCTTTTGCATATTATTATTATTCAGTGTTCTGTCTTACGACAGGTCCATTGCTCTGCCCAAAAAGAGCTCTCCAGTTGTCCCTATTCTCGGCTTCTCGCTTTAATTCCTGGAACGTCATCTTCTTTCCTTGTTTAAGATCGTCGGTTAGCTGTATCAATCTTCTTCCTAGTCCTCTCTTTCCTTCAACCTGGCCTTCGGTGATATCACTCAGTAATCCATTCCTTCTCATAATATGTCCCAGCCAGTTAGCTTTCCTTCGTGTAATCGCCTGCAGAATGTTTCTTTGCTCGTTGACTCTCCTCAATACTTCTTCGTTGGTCACTCGATCCGTCCACCTGATCTTCTCTATTCTTTTGCATATTGCAAATAAATGGTGGGGGTGCATATGCTTGTGTATAAGTGATTATATTATTTTATCTTGTTCATCTGTAATCATATCTGAGTATGCTGCCTATTCTCTCCTCTTAAAAGAGTTGCTGTTCTGTATTGAAAAGTGTGTACCAGCTGAAAATGGCTGTACCTAACAAAAAAATCTTGTTCTTGCAGATGCAGTTAAACTTGCAAGACTTGGAAGAGAAGCTGCAGGTTCAGGAAGCAGAGAAGAGAGAACTTGTTCTTAAATATGAAGAAATTCAAAATAGCTGCGATCGACTGAAGGACCAGGTGAACTCCAACGAACAGCATGAAGAGAAGGTACGTGTGTGTTTAATGAAAAGGCTTAATGAGCCATATGTTGAATTCTGAGAAATACCTTTCTTGAAACAGTCGCCCTCGGTGGACTAGTGGTTAGCGTGCTCGCCACTGTACCAAAGGTTAGCGGGTTCAATCCTGTTTGAGGTCGATGAATTTTTAAGGGTGATAAAAATCCGTAGCACAACTTCCTTCGGTGTCCCATGTCATAGATTTGCGGCATTTAAAAGAACCTTACGTGCATGATACGAGGTGTTTTGTAAGCAAAATTCAGCTGCCATTTCTCACCAAAGTCTCTCCTGATTCACTGCTAGATGGCTGTGGCAGTCAAATCAGGATTGTGTAGAAATTGTGCAGTCAGTGGGCTGGTCACATGCACACATCAAGACCAAGAAACCTCTGAAAAAGGAGATGGCAGAAACCCACAAACCAGGTTGTAGAGCCAAGAAACAACAACCTTTCTTGAAACTGAATGTTAGCTTTCCTAAATTTTTAGACTTTGGAACCCTGATGCAGTTTGTAGACTTCATTTGGCAAATGTGAAATTTTGTTCTAACGTTGTTTCTTCTGAAGCACCAAAGCTAAACCATGGAATCCTGTACAGGGGCGGAGCATTCATGCTGTCAGTGTTGGCTCTGCTACCACTTCGAAAAATTAATTTTTAAGTCTTCTGTCTTGCTCTCATGGTTCAGTGGTATTCCTTACATGGGAACACCGCAGAACTGATCAGACAAAATGCATTATCAGCCAGCCAGGCATTGTTAGCCAACTTAGCCTTGAGTGTAAGCCAACAGTAATTTTATTTCATCGGTGTATGGTGTACCACTGAACCACAAAGGTAAGACAGAAGACTTATTTTTTTGGTTGTCAAAGTATTATCTGCACTAACGCATTTAACATGAACATTCCAGTGGTCCAGTATGAAGTTCCATACTGCTGTGAATCATGCTGTAGTGCTTATAAACGTTCTGTATAATGTGCTTTAAGCATCAGTGTGATATACACCATGTGCTTTTTTCCTGCTGTGAATACGATTTAGATTCTGTCATTTTTATTGTGCCAAGCAGTATTTTGTTCGGCATTAAAGATTATTTAAGCAACATTTTCAGGGAATGATATTAATATATTATGTACTTATAAACAATCAAAATTTGATGATTTTGTATGTATGGAAGACATTAAAATGAAACTGATATGTTTCAAGGTTTTCCTCAACCCCTCTAGGTAAATGTCATTATTATGCGAGACTTGAGGTTCTCACAGCGGTGAGTGCCTTCAATTAGGCCATGACCACTTCCTTTCATATCCTTTCCAATTAATTATTCATCAGTCGTCCTATTGCTCGATGCTGTATAGCCTGAGATACTAACAGCATCATTTAGTAAGCCACAAACAAACTGACCAACACCAGATGCCAAGGATATCTGATAAATAGTTGTGAGGAACAGTTTTAATTCTTGTAACCAGAACCTGCCAAGCAATTAATTCATAGCGTTAATGATGATTGTCAAACTTTATTTCACTACTGCTCTTACTGAAAGTTTAGTGTATTGCATTGATGGAGTTTCTTTATTAAATATGTCAGGAAAAGACAATAAAAATTCTGAAGATTTCCGTCTTCTGGGTTGTTGCGCTGTGTAGTCTGAATCACCCTGATGACGGAGGCAGTATGACCTCTGAAACGTTGGTTAATATCGACCAGACTACACAGCGCAACAACCCAGAAGATGGAAATCTTCATACTCACTGCTGTGAGAACCTCAAGTCTTACAATAAAAATTCTGTTTATGTTTAAGATGATATGAAACATTGTAGCTATTATGATTAAAATTGAAGCAGTAGTTCAGTGGTTTACTGCTAATTCTGAGCTTAATAATTCTTTTTAAATTTTCTGTGCTTCTGTATTCCTTATTGCGTTAGATTCTGTTTGTAGATTGTTATTGAGTTTGCTGTGCGCTTTGTAACTTATTCCACAGGAGAAGGAACGCCTCACTTTAGAATTGAAGACTGAAAAAGATAAGAATCAGGATCTGGTGAAGGAAATGGTGAAGCTTCATAATTTGGTCCAGTTAGGTGAAGACTCATTGAGCCAGGAGCAACAGCTGGTACAGCAGTTACAGCAGCAATTGGATAAGTTAAACGTAAGACTTGTAACATTATATAGCGCAATAGCATTATTTATAGAATCATTTATTGTTTGCATTTGGTGAGACATTAATATTTTTATATATTTACAGTGAAGTGTTTTATGAAATATTTTCAGTTTCTTTTGTCACTCCACAGTGACTCCTCAGCTTATCTGAAATGTATAAGGCCAGCATGGGGCTTATGAGAAACTGATCATAAGGAACCAAGTCGTATGTGGTGGTGTCAGGAATTTAATGATTCAGTAATCAATAACATCTAGATAATTGATGGGGATATGACAGATTTATTGTGACACATTGTATCTTTTGTGAATGTTTGATGTTGATGTCAAGTTACATTAGATATTAATTGAATGGATTTCTGCACTCAGAAAACTACAACACTTTGCATCGATTTGTGGACTCAATTTAACGTCAGAAGTACCAGGCTTTTAAATCCCAGTATCTACTGCTGGCTTGATTTAAATCATACAGTTATGCTACCCATTTACCACAATGAAATAAATAC